GCGTACTAGCGGGGGCTCAATACCACAAACTAAACCATGTTATGCACTCGTACTACTCTTTGATTCCCTTGCCCCGTAAGGATTGTAAGGAATTGAATTACATGTTACAGTTTTCCCCGTGAGAAGAAAGGCCGACAGAATTTTGAATGCTCTATTAAACGAGCAAATGTATCCCCCCCCCAAAAAAAATAAAAGATGTTTCATGTATTGAAGCGAGACAGCCTGAAAACTATGTGACAGACAAGAAACCAGGCAAAGCCAATCATTTACGTAAACATTTATCCAGAAGACTCGGTCATATCCACATTTTGTTCTATGCATGAAATCTCTAAATTTTTCATGTTTGCACTGTCGGTAAACGCGTATTTTAGGATTAGAGGTATTTTTCGCAAAAGTTTATTGTCGGCAATTTTTATCCGCTTTTCCCAAATCTTTGGGATTTCATGCAGCTGGGACCTGGGTACTAAAAATAATCCTTTTCTACGTATAAATTTGCTTGGTCATAATTTTGCAGTTGTGTGTTCTCACACTGGTTGTCGAAGTATTTTCTGTTGGGTTTTCTCGTGTATCGTGCTGGGTCACACGACCAGGGCCGATAAATAAAGTGAATTCAACATCGCTTGTTCGTGTTGTGTGTCTGGTGAGGTCAGTTGGGGAAAACACGATGGAACAATTGCTTCTTTGTCCTAAGGAATGGGTAGTTTTTTAATCATTTCTTTAGGAATTTCAAGGAAGAATCAGCAGCGCTGATTTTTTTTTCTCGGCGTAGGTCAAAGGGTTGTCGGCTGGTCGTCTATATTTCCCGTGGATAAATTTGTTCACGCTTATATTGACATCGGTCAATCAAATTATATGTCGCATCATGTCCACAAAACGTCGTTCGTATAAGTGTACTTGAGGATGTTTGCATTTACAGATATTTTTCTCATACAAGTTTATATTTTACAAAAGCCTCCTGTCAGCTTTCCGTAAAGTGGATACTTCCAACGCGAATAGCTTTGTCAAATGTGTGAGGATTTATCTGGCCGCTGGGCCACCACTCACTGTTCGTTCGGAGTTGTGAATTCATTTGCTTCGATTACTGACAGTTTTACAGATGTTTGTTCTCAGTCTCACACTGGTCACACAAACACTTCCTTTTTGGCTGTGTGTGTTTTCGTGGATCGCGCTGAATATGGGCTGATAAATAAGTGAATTTGACACCAGTTTGCCGACCGCTTGGTCGTGTATCGTCCAGTCTTGTCCAGTCTAGTTGGGTAAGACTTGGGTTAAAAATTACGTCCTTGTTCCCGTATTTTTGAAGGTCACCATGATTTTTAAAAGAAATTGAAGACAGGGTCGGCTGCATAAAAAGTATCCTTCGGCGATCGAAGCCACAGGGTCGATCGAATGGTTGGTCACCCGTCCATCGAAAAAAAAAATTGTTTCACGATTTCAGTGACGACAGTCAACTCCACGTTTTGTATTAAATTTGACGGGCATGGCACGGTTTCCATAAATTCAAAGAAATTATGACTTTGCTTTCCGCCAAAAATCTGTTTGCATGATCGTGCAGCTAGGAAAAATAATTATTTCAAAGAATGGTTTGCAAAATCATTTGGGGATTGGGTAGGCCTATATTCTTTTTCTCGTACAAATTTATATTTTACGGAAACATTCGGGATTGCGGTTTATACGCAGCAAGGTATGAGACGGAGAGAACCCCCCGCCCTGCTTTGTGTTGGTCATTGTCTCGCAGGAATCTGGGGGATTCCTTTCAGACATCTTGGGGGTGTGTTAAGTAACAATAGTCTGGAATGTGTATAGGGATTGGACATGTGGGGGGGGTACCCCTCGGTCTCATTTCTTGCTGGGTATATTGCGGTTGACTAAATGGCATGGATTGGTTGGGGCTTAGTGGTCTATCCGGGCAAACCGCATCTGTGTGTATAGCGTTCTTGCACACACGTTATACAGAGCGTGTTGTCCAGTCCCTGTACAGCCACACACGCTGTATCGTGTAAACGTTTACTCAGGCCGTAACTGTACCTATCAGAGTGTAGCACTAAGATAAGTAGGGTGCTTTTTTTTTTTTCCTGAATCTGAAATTGAGCACCTCTATGAAGTTAGCAGGGTGCTTAGATTTTATTTGCAACTTAATTTTTTTTAATACGGTTTGTGAATATGGGCCCAGGCCTTTGTCTGCAATAGGTCACTATTAAAGTCCCAATGTTTGGCTGAGTAGGATTAAGCCGATTAAAGAAATCCCATTGTGACGTTCATCAGCAATTGACTCATACAAGAAAGTGGCAACACAAAGAATCTCCTGGCAGTAGGCCTTTAAGCACAGGTTTAGCCGGTACCCCGCCAGTAGAAGGGGGATTATAAGCTACTGGCCAGAAAGGGCTGGCCAGTATAGAAACCGGCCAGCAGTGGACATAACGCCTAAGGTAAATGTACACTAACTAAAGACGCTGTGAATTTAGGAAATCAAAAGTAGCAACTTAAATGTACATGTATAAGTGCTAGTACGTTCCCAAGTTAATACAAAATCACTGACAGTGGACATAGTGATAATCTTAACTTTCTCATGACACATGAAAATACTGATTCTCATAAGTCTCACAAAAACCTGAATAAAATCTTAGCTTCACAAAATATTCATGAAAAATACAATGGCAATGAGTCGTATTATCTAGAATATAAAAGAATAAATAAAAGTAGTGATTAAGCTGCAGGAACATGAACCAAAAGATAGGGAGTAATCCTGCCTTGAAGAAGAATGTGAGACCATAATTTATCCAAGCTTAGCTCTAAAATGGTTGTCAACCAGGGTTCAAAGAATTACACATGTACTTTAATTCAACACAAGCCAAAGTTAAAAATGTAAACTTATAAGAAATGTAAAGTTGTAGAAGTTTCAGTTAATTTGGTACTCACTCGCAAGGTGGTTCTGTGCAGGCCTATGGTCAAAGCAAGGGACAAAGAAGTCACTGTACTGGAGCATGTACACAGGGTACATGTATCTTTTTGACCTGGCCTTGTGGGTGGCTGGGTATTCAGGGTCCAGTCCACTAATTCAAGCCCCATTGAAAACAGTGTAAAATCAGCACCGTTCAGGGC